TTAAAAGATAGGGTCTTGCTGTATTTCCCAGCCTCATCTCAAACTTCTGGCCTCAAGTGATCCTCTTACCTTGGCTGCCTGAAGTGCTGGGATTACAGACATGAGCCATTGAACCCAGCTGTGAGAGCCTCATTCTCAGCTATGCTGTGAGGGGTCAATATATGCTTCAGCTTTTCTGGGGAATCCTTACAGAGAAGTTTCTGAATGAAACTACAGATTCATCTGGATTCAGAATTCTGGACAGGAGCTGCTTAACAGCAAAAATCTGGCATCTTCATTATATTTTAAGATTTTAGGTAGAACTAAGAGGGATCAGATACAGAGAGAGAAGGAATGTGAGAAGGAAAAAGATATAGTAGTTTAGCTAAATGTTTTCTTAGAGTTTCTTGGTGGGGCTGGACATGAAGTAACTAGTCTGACTCATTTCTCCTGGGAAGGCTAAAAGAGACACAAATAGCTTCTCTTTTTACCTTGGCTTTAAGAAAAAGCCACTTTATTTAACAAAAGTATTAAACATGACTGCATAAGAAATTTCCTTATGAGAATAAAGAACAAGGGAATAGAAGGGTGGGACAGAGGGGCAAGAAGTTGATTTCGTGAGAGCTACCTGTCAGTTGTTTTTGTGCCTTGTTTGTGACATCAAAACTGAAATGTTTGTGTTACTGTTGTCCGTGACTTTTTTTCTGTGTCAGACATACAAATTGAATTTGTAATGTTTTAAACTAAATAAAGCATTCTCACCTACATTTGTTACCAAGAACTCATAATTAACACAACAATGGTTAATCATGATCTAACGTTAAATGGCCTCAGCAAGAGAAGGACTCATATGATACTTGTCCTCTGATTGTTGTAAGTATGGTAATAGAGGAATACATATTATGGGGTTACAGAGGGGGCAGGTACTGACAGAGTAAAAAGTATGTTTTTACAGATTGTAGTAAGCTAGATAAATTCTGTTGTCACTCTTTCTGCTCTCCACAGACTGTAACATTCAGGAGGAGATGAGGGGTAGGAAAGGTGGTTGGATAAGGTGATGGTACTTAGCTCATTTCCAAGATGGGCACAAATATGTGCCTGCTAGAAATTGCACTTGGGGGCCGGGTACAGTGGCTCATACCTGTAATCCCAGCACTTTGGGAGGCCGAGGCGGGCGGATCACCTGAGGTCAAGAGTTCTAGACCAACTTGACCAACACAGAGAAATCCTGTCTCTACTAAAGATACAAAAATTGGCTGGGTATGGTGGCACAATGCCTGTAATCCCAACTACTTGGGAGGCTGAGGCAGAAGAATCGCTTGAACCCGGGAGGCAGAGGTTGCGGTGAGCCGAGATCGAACCATTGCACTCCAGTCTGGGCAACAAGAGTGAAACTCCATCTCAAAAAAAAAAAAAAGAAATTACAGTTGGAGAAGGGAAGAAGGAAGTTATTTGTGGGAGGACATTTTAAGTTCTGTAAAGATTTGAGAAATTCCACAGTACCATAATTAGGAGGCAGTTAAAAACCGTTGTTAGCAAAAGAAGTGATAAATACTTCAGAGAACTATTAATCCTATTTTGGATGGCTAAGCCTTCTGAAGAGAATTCCAGATGATTTTAGGGGCCTTGTCAAGCAGAAAATCTGTCCTTGCTTGAAGCATCTGGGCTCAGTTTTTTTTCTTTCAGTAGTTAACTTTAAAATTTTAACACGTAGATTTAGCTTAAATATAGACTCTAAAACAGTTGAACTCTGATTACCTTCTCTGGACATTGTATTATTTTGTCTAAAGTTTTAATTCCATTTTGGCTTTTCAAGTTTATAAAATATTTTTGTTTTTATTTATAAAGTATTTGTTTAGAATCACCCAT